TTAGTGCTTCTAGAGTTTGCTGGTTTCAACTTCACAGTCATGAAGTATTTATTTTCAGGCATCATCCAGAACTTTGGAGGCTGCTTTGCTTCACATCTTAGCTAGGTTGACTTCCTGGCAGGACTGGAGAAAAATAGGAGTTTGGTTTTGCTCCGCAAATGTATGAGAACCTCTGGAATGAGCCCAGGATGGGGAGATAGGAGCTTCTGAACTCAAATGCTTTGTCTGCTATTGATTTTTCTCAGTGGCCATGAATAAATCCATTAAATGTTGGTGCGTTGGTTTCCTCAGACATAAATCAAACTGTCAAGATTTCCTACCTCCTAGTGATGCCGTGAATTCTGAATATTTGAGTCCTCCTTTGTAGAAAGAGCTCTGACAGGAACACATAGCAACAGCATTGCACATAAAAACTGAAGCTAAAATTACCATCTGGCTTTCCTGATCAAGCAGTATAGCTACACAGTATATGGAAAGATCCTCAGTCTTTACCTCTCCTGGGAACCTGAGACTCAGCAAGCTCTGGGGTTTCACCAGGGATGAGAAGAGCCAGGAACTTGGCTTAGGTACTTATTTGCAGTGCTTTTGTTTCTGTTCTTGCTATCAACCTGCAATAGGTACTGATGATTGTTTGGGGAATTTGAACAGGTATAGGTTTGAGACTTGCAAAAATGGCTTTGCAGTGGGGTGGTTATGGTAACTCCTTAATATGCTCGGTGTGTCTGCTAGCAGTTGGTCAGAAAAGGGTAACATTTTACCACGTAAAGTCATGGGTATCTCCATTCTTTCAAGGAAAAGGTCTGTGTAAGTCAGTTTGAAGATTCTGGGTTTTGCTTCTATTCTGGTGATTTCTATGAGTCTTGAATATGTCAAGAGTTTAAGTCTGAATGTGGAATTTTTCACAGGTCTTGGATCTTTAAAAATCCCACCTGCTGCAGTGAATTTAGTTATGTGAAAAAGTTAGGAAGCAAATAATGGGCTTAGATTAATATTAACAAGTGAAATGGAATATTTGATTGTTTACATGTGCTAACCTGCTTTCCAATTCTGATTTTTGCAAATCTGTTTAGTATTAACTGAGTTAAAAATGAAATCATGCAACTGATGCATAAATCAATAGTTTTCAAACATATCCTAAATTCTGTTTTAAGTAAATGTTATTTCATGCAGTTGCATTGTCACGCTTGAACAACTAGATCATCAATTCCAGTAAACACCACCTACTATATACAGGGTTTCACATCACAGAAAAATCAAGGTTTGATCTGTTGCTTCATGTAACATAAACCTGGATTCCTGTTGACTTTGAGTTGGGCCTTGAGTTTAGCTTTTCTGGGTTGGCAGTGTTGCTGTGCAGAAGCTCTTTGGTACACTACCACTGTTTAAGGAATATAGAAGCCCTAAATATCACAGTGCTATTTGTGGAACCTTCAAAAATGTACAGCACAAGGGTCATGAGCTAACAAATAACAAGTGTTTCACTGCTCTCTGGTCTTCCAGGCATCACCAGACTGTGCCTGAAAGCATACAGAAATACTGTGAGACCTGCAGCCTACTCAGGCATTTTTTCTCCTCATTCATTGTGGAGAGAACCTGTATCCCTTTTCCCCCTCCATGCCCTCTGGTAATTTTCATGTGCTTTTTGGTTAGAGCTGTCATGTATGTCAGAGCATCCTAACAGTTTGGACAGTATGGAGAAGCCATGCTTGGTAAAAAGCCTTTCATGTGGCCTGACACAGGCTACTGTGTAGTAGCTTGGAGAAATATGCAGTGAAGCTCTTCAGGGCACAGCTTAGGCTCTGACCGCTGAAGCCTTTCATGAGACTGGTAAACCAGTCATCCACATGGCCACTGGTAAACTGTTGAGGAATCAGTGATTTGGGGAACACAGTTTTAGAAGAGAGTGTGTTGACCTTGGGAGTTATGCTTATGAGACGTGCGTTGAACAGGCATGACTTTGGATTGCCCAGTGAACCCCAGAGAGCTTTTAGTGTGTGGTGATCTGCAAATTCGAATGTCTGTCCAAAGCAGCCACAGAAGGAAGAAAAAATCCCCATAACAACATATGAAACAGAAATAAATGACATTCTCCCATGAACAGGAAGGATACAAAGATGGATAAGGTGCAGAATCCCATCTGTAATAAGGGTCAGTGGCAGATGACTGGAGGGAACAGGCAGATGATGTAGTTGCATGCAGGGGTGGGTTGATGGCACCTTATATTAAAACCAGTGGTACAAGTCAGAGTAATATCTCTTTGAATTTGCTCTGCTCTATTTTGATGAGTATGCAGTAGTTGCCCTAAATTACTGTTTAGATTTCTAATATGCTCTTGGCCTTCTCCTTGTACTGAGTACATCAGTAAGATTTCATTTCAGTGACTGAGAAAGGGTAAATGAGCCCTAGTAATATTTCTTATACTGAGTGAACAATCAACCCATCATGCCCCCCTTCCCAAAGACGACAAATGTGTATTCAGTGCTTTGTACATCTACAGTTGTGGGGAAAAGGCTCATAATGATTGTGTTTGACTCCTGCCCTCACTGGCTATTTGATGGGAATTTCCCACAGGTACATAGAGCATGTGTCTAACTTGATTGTAACACTTTCCCTTCTGATGGATCACGAGTGACTAGGCAGGGGAATTATCAAAGTGGGAAAGGGTTGTTAAGTGCTTGGCTCTGACTTCCAGAACTGCAATCAATAGCAGCCCTCTGTGCTTAGGCTGGTTTAACACTGACACAAACATTCAGCACTTCTTGCTGGTAGTTAAATGTATTCAGAATAGAATCACAGAACCAAATAATTTGGAAGGGACATCCAGAGACTGTAGTCCAACCATTAGCTCAGAGACGGTCCAGTTAGAGCAGGTGGCTCAGGACTGTGCCTAATCAAGTTTTTAATATTTCTAAAGATGGAGATTTCACAGTCTCTCTGGGCCCTTCCTAGTGTTTGACAATCCTCAAGATGAAACATTCCTCTGTATGGAATGAGAATTTCTTGTATTCAGCTGTATCTGTTGCTTCTCATCCTTCTTCTGCAGACCTCTGAAAAGAATTTGGCCCTGTCTTCTCTATGATCTCCCATTAAGTCATTGCAGAGAACACTAAGATTTCCCTTGAGTTGTCTCTCCTTGAAGCAGAACAAACACAGTTCTCTCAGGTTCTCCATACACCTCACCTACCTCAGTACCTTGTGTGTGTTGGCAGCTCTTTGCTGGACTCACTCCAGTATGCTGAAGCCATTTTTATACGAGGGAACTCAATACTGGACAGAGCAGTCCTAATGTGATCTCATAAGTGTCCACTGGGGGAAGAATCACTTTCCTCAGCCTGCTGGCTGATTCTTGTTAATACAGCCATGGATGCATCTGCCCTTTGCTGAAAGGGCAAGTGCCGCTGACTTGTGCTCAGCTTGTGTGCTGGGACCCTCAGGTCTTCTTCTGAAAAGCTGCTTTTGAACCACTTGGCTCCCAGCGTGTATTGCTGCATGGAGTAATTTGGCTCCTGTTTGCTTGCAGGAGTATATGGACACATGGTCTGCTTACTTAAGTACGAACACACATACTGCCGCAAAAGTCTCTGCTTAAAGCAGACCTATCACTTGACAATGATATATGTACAAGGTGGAACACTGTACTGTTTTGTCACTATTGTTTTATGCTATGAGGGCATAGATTTTACTATGTAGTTATTTTCCAAGAATGGCTGTGACAGCAAGTATTTTCCTTTCAGTCTTGTACTAATAAATTCTGTCTCATCTGTATTAGGATTACTAAATGAGACAAAATGAAACAAAAAAATACTATTAATGTCAACGGAAATAGAACTAGCCCTTGCCTTATGCAGTAACTTCTAAGCAATGATAGCTTGACTGCTTCTACTGTCTACTGCTCAGACTTGCTTTCACAGCTGGGAGTCAGGAAGGTGCTGCGTTACTGAGTGGGGGGACCCTTTTTCCCCAGATGGCACTGGTAGGAATGGGCTACAGACAGGCCTCCTGCAAGCTTTCCTATCACTCTCTTACACTTCTTCCACTGGACAAAACCAGGGTATGCAACTGGCTCAAGTCACATAAGCAGCAGAACTGGCTTTGAAGGACTGGAACACCAGGTACTGGGAAGCAGACTTCTAGTTCACACAAAGGATTTTTATGATATTCAAATGCTGCCTCCAGTTGCTAAGAAATTAGTGTACTGGCTTTTCTTACTGTACATAGGAGATTTTTTTCTTAATGAGGAAATATTTTACATCATGTGCTGTGAATAATCCCCCCCGTGTTTATTTTTGCTGTATGAAGAAGATGTGCTTGTCTACTACAGATTTCCTGGACAAGGTGATCAGACAGGCAAAGTTCTCAGATGTGTTTGCCAGCAACATTACTTACATCTGTGGATGAAATGTTTTATGTGGACTTCCCTCATACTGTTGGAGAAGGAATCTATAGGACACTTCAGGTGGCTCTCTTGCCTGCTTGGTCTCTCATTCAGTTGAAAAAAAGGGCAGCTCCGTCAGGATTATATTCTGATGTGTCTCTTAAATTGCCTGTCAGATGGGTTCAGATAAGTTCAGATGGCATTAGTGCTGAATCTAAAATGCTGATTTTTGGGAAATGGTGAAGGCTTTTTAAATGACACATATGTGGTGGTCGTGTTGAGAATAGTAGAGCTTTCCATCGTTCTCCCAAAAAGGATGTGAAGTGCCTTATTAGCAGTCCTTAAATGTTTTTCCTAGACTTCACTGCATACTGTTGAATGGTCCCTATGGTGACAGTGCTGCAGTGAAGCTGAAAACACAGCAGTGAAATTTGTCAGTACTGAGGACCCTGAAGTTAATTCTCTTGATAGTCATATTAGAAAGGGATCTGTACAGTCATTAGCATGCCATGGTATATAGCTGTACAGTAAACAGTGCTGTGGGATTGCTTAGAAATTTCATGACAACCTTAAATCTCTTCTTGGCTGACTGCTGAATAGGTTTTTTTTTCCCCTTCCTTTCCAGCACGAGATGAGAATATGGCCACTTTCCGTGGTTCCGAATACCTTTGCTATGACCTGTCGCAGAACCCCATCCAGAGCAGCAGCGATGAGATCACTCTCTCCTTCAAGACGTGGCAACGCAACGGGCTCATTCTGCACACCGGCAAGTCAGCGGATTATGTCAACCTGGCCCTGAAAGACGGTGCGGTCTCGTTGGTCATTAACCTGGGGTCTGGGGCCTTTGAGGCCATTGTGGAGCCGGTCAATGGCAAGTTCAATGACAACGCGTGGCACGACGTTAAAGTGACACGCAACCTGCGGCAGGTAATGGTGAACGGGAGAAAATGCTGGGGAGAATTTTGTTTTGTTTCATTGGGACAGGCAGATGGGAGAGAGTGTTGGAGAAATGAGGAAGCTCAGTGGAATTGCTAAAGTTTCTCCATCTATTCTGGATCTTGGTACCTAGAGGACAGTGAAAAAACATTACTTGACGGGAATTTATCCCTGCTGCAATATCTTCATTTCCACTTCATTAATTTTCTGTGTTTTTTTCAGTTTGATTTAATAATAAAAACTTGTGACATAACTTTACTTTCATCTCCCTTTTCCTTTTTTCTTTTTCTGTTCTCCCTTTTTTATTATTTCCTTAATTATGATTCAATCTTATCAGTAATATTCTTGTTGTATTTAATTACCGTGGGAACAGAGCCTTTTTCCAACAGCCAATGCTCTACACCTCTCTCCTTTTTCTTTCAGTTTTATTAATTGGTTTAACCATTGCCGTGATGTCACAATTCTAATTCTGGAAGTCTTTTGTTTTTTTTTTCCTTTTTCTTTTGTGTGTGCATGTGAGTGTGCAGGTGTGCAGACTGGTGGGTATGTGTGTAATTAATTTAACTTTATAGCTTTGGAATTAATTGGCTGGAGTCTGTCTGAGTCTTCTTGATTCTCTGTTCTTCTTTTCTTCTTTTTGATTTTTTTCCTCTTCTTTCTATAATGAGATTTTACCTTATTTCTTGTGTCTCTGCCTATGAGACTCTTCTGTTGGCTGTGAGGACTGGAAAAGTGGAAGGATCAAAAAAAACCAAGCAAACCCAGATCAATCCAGCATCCTACAATTCTACTTTGGAAAAGTTTTTCTGATTTTACCAGTGTAATTTTACACATCTACATGCTGCTTTTCCAAGCAGACAACTGTATCAGGTGACGTATTTGGTAGTAGGCTAGTCCTAAGATCCCAAAGCCTTTCTCATGAAATATAAATTCATACATAAATAGATAAGATAAAATTAAGTAACCTTGCTCTGAAAGCCGGTAAATATATGAAGTCACTAGGGCCCATCCGCTGCATGATAAATGAGGTTTACACTCTGAATAGGAGCTATTTGGTGTCTTGCTCACTGGTAGAGGCAGCAAAAATAGCTTGTAAACTAAGATTTTAAAATCAATTTGTGAATAAAATATGACCTATTTATTTCCTCATTAATGTGAATATTAGCACAACCCTTAATGGCTTTGTATAAGTTTATACAATGTAATTTGCTGTGAAAACAGCTTTTGTGGTAACATTTTATGGTAGCTAAGATCAAATGTGTCTGTGAGTATAGGATAATCAGCGCCAGGGATCAGAAATAGTCTCTACTAGCAGATGTCAGTGGATAATTTATCTGTTATGGGGATTTCAGATCTTTCTTTTCAATATTTGGGTTCGGGGCTGAAGATTTTTATTTGTCTTTCCCATGTAAATCCCTGTGTTTCTACATGCTTAGGATGTCTGGGTCTTTGACAAAAAATCTGTCATCAAACTTCCATGAGACTCCAGGATTCTTTCCTATGGAAAAAATGAATCTGTTTTCCATACTTTATATGCAAATGCAAATTTAATTTCTTATGCATTGGATGGGTCTTAATGATCCTATTTTGTTCAAACTTTCTGATCAGTACAGTAGAGGGAGAGGCACCAACTGGTCTAGGTTTGTCAGTCTGGAAGGGTCAGAATATATAGCTTTATTTGATTTGGGTTTTTTATTTTTATTTTTAGCTAGTTTCAGAACAGCTCATCTCTGAATATCTCAGTAGAGCTTACTGGCCATTTTAGTTAATCTTACTTTTTATTTTTTGTTGGAAGTCAATTTCAATGGGAAAATGTACCAGAAGCAAGATGAATCCTTGCTTCATGCCAGCATTGGTTTGGATCTTGAAGAAGCAAAAAGTGAAGGGCTACAGACAAAACTGTGGATGGGAAGCTGTAACATTCTTTTCTTAATCTTTTAGTTAGTGATTTTTTAATTGGTCCATGGAAATGGACCAAGACAATGGAAATATGTCTATGCCTTTTCATCTTTGATTAGACCAAGGCAGTACTTGGGCAATTACTAGAAAGCAGGTGAGTCCCTTGCCAATTCAGCAGCATCTCAAACCTTTAATCCTCCTGATCTGTTCACTATGGATCTTTTTAAGTGATCCTGAATTCTTTAAGGGTCCAACTTGACTGGGCAAGAATGAGATGTTTTAATGAGATGGCTGTGCTCTTTCCAAAGAAAAGGCAGTCTTAAAGTCAAATTAAAAATAATTAGCAGAGGTGATTTGGGTTCCAGTTCTATAGATAAACATGACAGAATACAGTTCAACCAAAAAATATCAGTAAGGCTGGACTTTTGTTTTTTCAGTCTTCTTTTCACTGGATACTTCCATTTTAACTCCTGATCTGTCTCAAAATTCAGACATTGACCCAGAACCTGAAACTACCCAGAAACTAGAATTCATGAAGCCTTGAGGCAAAGCAGTCCTGATAGTCCTGAACATTATCATCCAATATAATTTTGTATAACCTAAATAATTTTGTATGTAAAAGATAACTACCCTGTGTCTTTCCTATAAATTCACCTGTAATGTTGCAGCATAACAGAGGTCACTTGGAAGTCTTGTTTTCCAGCTGTGCTCATGTTTCCTCAAAAACACCCACTTCAAAACCAAACTAAAAACTGCAACAAAATACATTGCCTCTAAATGCTAAGGCTTTATAAGAAGATCAGTAGCCTCCTTATAATTGGTTGAAAATATTGCACTGGAGATAAATATATTTCTCTTTAAAATGAAATTTAAAACCAATAGTTTAGAAATTCCAAGAATATGTTCTAAAGCTAAAGCAATTCCAGCTAAATGGACTATCAGCAGCTTCAGAATGCCATCTAGTCTTTTCCTCTGCTTTTTTGGGGCTGAGAGAAGGGGGAGGAGGATTTGCATAATTTTTTGGCTGTTTCTAGAATTAGAGTAGAACTTTAAATAGTTGGACTTCTGCCCAGTATTTTTTGGAATTGTTAAATGTTTTGTAGCTAAGCTAGGAGAGTACTAAGTGCTGCTTTTTTTTAGATCAAATGACTATCGCAGTGGTTAATCTCCTTAGAGACAAACCAAGTGAATCCACAGATTCCCTTGAGTACTGATTGTTAATGTCAAAGCAAATCTCCTTGTTTATTTATCTTATTATTTCAGTTAAAACTAAGCCCTCTTTCTGCCTTGTGAGAAACCTTTACTTAGAAATAGGATCATGGCTATATTTTACCAGGGCTTTCAGAGCATGTTTGGGGCAGTGTGGTCTGGTGGGAGGAGGAGGAGGAGCAGAGGAGACTGAAGGTCAGACTTCCCCTGTCTGTATTCAGGTCTGCTGCTGATACTCCATCTCATTTTTAGCATACTCTGCCCCCCATCCCATGCTCCAACTCCCTTGTTTATAAAATGGATTTATTAATACAATATTTCGCTGTGAGTGAGACTTCCTTGATTAAGAATTGAGGATTTTGTGCTCATTATACCCAAGTACAGATTATTATTATTATTTCATTACCAAAGGCAAATAACCTTGGGACTTTATGCTCAATGCTGCAAAGTCTTCACAAACTTACTTCCTTAGTCAATGCACAACTCTGAGGTTTGCAGGCAGATAGCTTTTACATGAGGCAGCATAGAACCTGCCTGTGTAATTTAGGATAGTTCGTGCCAGCTTAAGCCACAACAGAACAAGGACTTGGACCCTCCAGGGCCTGCCCTTCCCTATTGACACTGAAACTAGTCTCAATGCAAAATCTGCTATAAAGATCTTGAGTTCCTCGGCTGCTAAAAAGCAAACAAGAAACAATGTGTAGGTTCAAACAGTTGGTATCTGCGTGCCTTGGGAAGGGTTAACAAAGCATCTGCAAAGTTCTGTTGAAACCAACTGACTGGTAAATTCTCCTAGCTCCTTCTTAATATGGATGCAGTATAATAGGAGAATCTTGTCAATCTTCTATCTTCAACCTTGACACAAGTGACACAATTCTTTCTACACAATTCCTCGACACATTTCTTCCTACGGTAGGAGAGGTTCGATTCCTGTACTCTTGGATGACAGAAGTGAGCTACAGGCACACAGTCAAGCACAGGCTTTGTTGTGTGCTCCTCCTGAAAGTTACAAACTCCCCTGCCATAAAGAAAGCTGCAGATTGGGAAACTTGGAAGGAAGACTCAAAGTCTTGGACTCTTCATCTGTAATACTCCAGCCAAAGGAAATACTGGCCTGCTTGTGATACTCTGCAACACTTGAGGGTAGTGAGGCTTGGAAGAGGAGCAGGCACATAGGTGGGTGGTTGTGGGTGAAAGAATGGAGTCATGGTTGGGTTTGTGCTGAAGGGGCAAATTGTGTACTGTGTGTGTACATCTTTGAGAGTAAGGTTCTTGTTTGAGGGAAGCACCTTGATGGGCATTTGAAGAGTAAGTATTGCACTGTTTTAACTTTGGTTCAGATCTGGAAAATGTGTATGAAGGTTGAAGTTAATAATTAAGACCAGGGTGGGAAGAGTAGGCAGCCCCCTCTTTCTTTACAGTCTAGATGGCATGGTTCCCCATAGAGTCCTGGTCATATTGTCCTCTTTCTCACTTTGTGTGTCTCAGGTGCCCCACGCCTTTTTTTGGAAAACTAACACTAGACCATTCATGCAATGTGTCATTTTTACTAACCAACTAATGTACTAACACCCTAACGACTCATCTTTGCTTTTAGTTATTTTAATTAACAATCGTTCTGTTCACAATTTTTTAATTTCCTTTCTTCCCCCTTTTCCGCAAAGCACTCAGGCATTGGACACGCTATGGTAAACAAACTACATTGTCTGGTAGATATCATTCTTATTGTCTCTTTTTTTGGGTTTGCCGTGTGTTACCTGCCTTTTCCTCCCCCTACCCCCTCTTTTTCTCCCCCCTCCTTTATACTTACTACTTCCTTTAATTTTATTTTAATTTCATTTAAAACACTTTTTTTCCCCCTCCTTTTTTTTTTTCTCTTCTTCTTTTTTCTTTTTGAATAGAAAAATGAGCATCAAAAGCAACTAACACAACTCCTCTGGAAATGGGCTTTGGACATTTCTTTCATTGTTTTCTTCACCTATGTCTTTAGTTGTTTTTTTTCCTTTCCAGTGATAAATTGTTGGGATTTTTGTCCCTTGCTTTTGAGTTTAGCTTTCTCTCTTTTGCTTTTGTTTTAATTTTGCTTTTTTTTCTCTGCTTTTGGTTAATGTTTTTTTTTAACTCTGAAGGTTTCTAGATCAGAACCATTGCAGGGCCTCTAGTCCATGGTGGTGAAGGCTCTCTTTTTCTCTCACTCTTTTGTTGTGGCAATGGCTGTTACAGGCAAACTGGCCAGAGTTGTCCTCTTTCTCCTGATTTTCCCCCACTTCCCTCCCTCTGCTTTCTCTCCTCCTCCTCCCTCTTGCTCTCTCTGTCTCACTTTCTCTCTCTCTTTCTGACCTCTACCTGCGTGGCCAACAGGAGCTCAGCCGATTGTTTGTTTCAGTACACACTCTGCATGGCATGTCCACGTCTGGTGACTCACCTGTCTCCTCCTGGCCTCGATCTATTTTCCTCCATCTTCCCTTGAAACCACTAACAGCATCTCAGCAAAACACATCAAATTCACTTGCTCCTCTCCCTCCCTCTCCTTCTGTCACCCTTCACCCTCCATGTGTTTGTGGTTAGAGATTTTGGGGATATTTCTGTTTGGGTTTGAGTTTTTTTGATTATTATGCAGTTTGTTTGGTATTTTTATTTTTGATTGCATGCAAGTGTGAAATGGTTTTCTCTCCCTCTCCTGCCTCCTTCACTTTTCACTTTTTTCCCATCATCTTTCTGGCCTCAGATATATTGGCATGTTATGTCAAAGTGCAGTGTGTGCACGCTTTTTCTTCTTTCTTTTTCTTTCTCATCTCTGCTTCTATCACACTTGTTGGTGTGTGTTTGATTTATTCTGATTTATTTCATTTTATTTTCTGATTATATTTTGGTTATGAGTTAGTTTTTAATTTTTTTCTCTTTTTTTTTTGTGGTGGGTGGTGGGTGTGTGTCTCTCTAGGTACATGGCATGCACATCCATAATGTATTGAAAGTGAGATCCCTTTCCCCCCATCCCTGAATGCATGATCGTCAGTGTGCCGTGAGCAAAAGAAGCATAAAAAATAAAAAATACCAACCTTGTCTTCATTAGTGGTTTGTTTTGTTTTTTTTTTTTTCTTACTAACAACCATAACTAACTGTAATCATTAAAATAAATTCTAATCAATCATAAAATCAGCTAATATGAGAAATCTCTTTCAAGGACAGTTCCATTTTCTGGCCTGAATAGATGGAAGGCATCTGGATGGGCAGGCTGGTGGGTAAGCCTGAGAGTGCTGATGCACCAGAAAACGGAGAAGCAGATGCTGAAACATTTCTGGTGTGGAAAAATCAGACCAGAAAATAGAGCTTCACTGAACTAAAAAAAATACATACCAAATCTCAACAAAATCCTTAATAAAACCAACATAAAATTATAGGGGAGGTAAGTTGTTCTGTTCAGGATTGTAAGGTCATTGCTGGGATTTTCTTTGTCCGTTGTGTCCCTCAAACAGGTGACAATCTCTGTGGATGGCATCCTTACCACCACGGGCTACACGCAGGAGGACTACACCATGCTGGGCTCAGATGACTTCTTTTATGTGGGAGGGAGCCCCAGTACTGCTGATTTACCTGGCTCTCCAGTAAGCAACAACTTCATGGGCTGCCTCAAAGAGGTAACTATTTCAAATTAATTCTTATTTCTGTGCTTTGGGTTTCTTAAAGTCATCGCTCTTTCCTGCCTTACACACTCAATGTCTTTCCCTGATGCAACAGCTCTGTAAGGATAAACTTGTCATTTGGCTGGACAGAAGGATGGAAAACTCATGATCTTAAGGGCAGAATCAGACTTCTAGTGTTTGGATTACAGAGAAAATAACCCTGGTAGTGGGAGAGTTGTCTTCTGTAAGCTGTTAGTAATGTTTTCTCCTAAATGGCTATCTTCTAGGCACTGAGGCAATAGCCATTATAAAAAGATAAATGGCCTTTGTTTACTGAGTAACATTTTTAGCTGAAAAAAGTCATGTTCAGAAGCTTATTTAGAATTTTTTTTATGATCCTGGATTTCAGCTGGGAATATAGATAGTTCTAAATTTTCCAGGAGGATACAGAATTAGAATAAAATGGAAAGATAAAAGTTGAAAGTAGCATAAAAAGTGTAAATTATGTGAGGAGAGTGCAGCATGAGGGTGTAATGGATGTGTGGCAATAATGAGGCATGTGGACTTGGGGCCCCTGGTGGACTAGTGGTTAGGGTGCAGCACTTTCACCGCTGCGACCCGGGTTCGATTCCCAGCCCCCCGAGCAGATGGAGCTCGTTAGCCCTGTAAGGCAATCCATCTAAGAGAAGGTCACTCTAAACAAACCTACGTTCTGAGACCCTCACTGCCACTGTCCAAGCTTGCTCGGCCCCGACAGATGAACCTCAGGATTAAAGGGTGGGCTCAGTTCAGCGCACGCTGTGTCTCACCTAAAAAATCCACTGCGCAGGCTCGAAGGGTTAATGACTTTTCCCAAATCTTCGCTCGCGAAGACTGGCCATACAAGGACTTGAAGTCCATGTGTTATGATCCAGTTATTGAGAGATGCTTCTGCACGAATAAAGGTGCAAACAAAGTCAGTAGTACAGATTGTACTTAACAATAAAATGTGAGATAGAGAGATAGAAAGAAATAGAAAACAGAGAGAAGAGAGAGAGAGATTAAGCCACCACCAGTGGATCCAGTGGTGGATCCGTTGGTCCTTCTTCACCTTGGGCTTCTTGATGGTGGTGGGTTCTGAGGTCATTCAAAACTTTTCACATTTATACATTTTTGAAAACAAACGAATTAATGCTCTTTGGTGTTACAGCCTGCCCCGCAAGGCAGTAGTAACTTTTGGTTTTTTGCTAATAAATCCCTTGGGGTGCATAAAAGTAAATCAGTAGTAGATTACCTGTGTTTACAGATATAGATATATATGGTTTATTTTAGAACAGTTTGGTTGCAAAGGAAAACAGGTATGTAGCTTTTTTCATTATTATTGTCTACAGTAATATGGCAATATAAAAACATAAAGATATCGCCCAGGAAAATGTGTAACAGAAAAGAGAGAAAGAATAAAAAGTTTATAGTTACCACCCGGAGTTCTCTGACAGACTTTGTTGTTCTTGCTGTCATTGCTGTTGTCACTGGTGTCTTGATCCAGTGGGGAGTGCTGAGGGAAAGAAGCCCATGAAACATAACCAATGGCTTTATGTACCCTCAGAAACCCTGCTGGTGCTTCCCCTGTGTATGTGGGGGTGCTGTTTTTGCACAGTCGTGCTGTTTTTCAGAGGCTGGAGGTGATGGTTTTTGTAGAGTCATTTAGGCTTGGGTGGGGGGGGTTGCTTCAGAGACACCCCTGCTAAGAGGCCTTCTCTGGGGTAGTGATGGGTGTGTGCACGGAGCGCCTAGCCTGACTCATAGGAGGTAAGTATCACACACTGAGAGTCACCACTGGCCTTCTTTAGACAAGTATCACACACCCAGAGACTCACCCTTAGGGCCTCTGCAAACCTAACAGTTCGTGGGTTATGGCCTCCCTCCCTCTGCTTTATCTTCAGTCCCCTGGTAAGAGGCTTCCACAGCTTGTTGCAGTAGCAATGTTTTAACGCAATGAAGAAAGTTCAATTCCTCAAAATTGGCTCCACAGTTCTCTTATTCTATTGGTTAAATGATTCTCTAGCTTCTTATGCTAATTAGTCCCATGGTCAACTCAGTCTTTCTGTTTGAGTTGGTGGATTGTGAGTCAGTGGGTGTGATCTCTCCCTGACGGAATTACCTTTTTCCCAGTCTGAGCTGATTTCAGCACAGTTGCTGAGTTGACTTTCCTTGTGGCCCATAAATTCTGCATTCTTTGTGTCCTTTATCAGGGATATATTCTTCTCCCCCAGCTTTGTTAACCTCCCCCTAGGCCTGAGGTAACACCTGGATGATAGTATCACCCTTAAGTTCTCCTCACTCGTGGCTTAAGTTATAGTCCAAGTTCTAGGTATCCATGGAGGCATATTTGGGGGTGGGGGGCTTCAGTGGTCACAGATGCCATCTGTTCTGTAACTTGGTATGATCTTTGTTTGGCTGGTGATATGTGTATGAGCAGTTGCTTCTTTATACAGTTTGCCACAGTGGGAATTTTTGTCTGGATGGGCTAGCCAGATCTAGGGTGGGCTACCCAGATCTTACCTCCACCAGGAGTTAGTGCCATCCTGTTGCTCCATTCTGTCCTTATCTCATGGCAAAGTCATTCTGTGGCCTTAACAGTGTCTGGGACAGGCAACTGTGATCTTAGGATCCCTACACTCTGTTGGGAAGTTTGTGCAGTTGAGTGGCTGCACTGGTCAGGAAGAGCTAGCTGGCTCTGAAAACCATATTATATTACTCAAGCTGGGTGCACTTCTCATGTAGTTAATCCACAACTTTGAGAAAATTCACACTTGGGTAATTGAGATTGGACTGCCTGGCTAGCAGCAGGAATCAGAATATTATTCCTTAGAAAAAAGAAAAGAGAGTTAAAAAAAATGAAGTCTCAGTCCAAATCCCAAACTTGGTACAGTTTTGTTTGGGTGTTGGCCTTGCAGTCATCTTTTGTCTTGTGTCTCTCTTCTAATATGATTTGTGATTATCGCTGTGATCAATGGGGATGCAGATATTGATGTCTCCAAAATGTGTTATAGAAAGCTTACTGAAAAACAGTCGTAGGTTTTCTGTGAGCCAGCTTCCTAGCTAGCCTGGAATAAGAGTTTCTTCCAAGAGTTTTCTCCTTAAGGTTGTGATTCTGTACGAATACTGTTTTTCACAGGGTGTGGCTAGGTTGATTTGATTTTATTTGCAGCCCAGCGGGTTGTCACAATATCATGTTTGGATGAACACTTAATATCAGAGGAAAGGGGGAGGTTTCATACAGGAGTTGTTGAAGCAACAATGCTGAGGTAGATGTTCTGTGGCTGTAACTGACTTGACAAGTTACCATCCTACTGATGCTCCACTTGTGGTGTCAGGGGTTCTCTGTTATGTGCCAGTCCTCTGATGTGAGTAATGGTTGTCAGAGTCTGAAGCTCTGTCCTACCTGACCTCTGGATTGGTTAAAGAGATGCACATATACCAAAAAAGAGCATGTGAGCATCTTAAATAGGAAATTAAACTGCCCTCCTTGAATACAAACTGCCATACAGATCCTTCTGGTTTCATCTGTGGAGCCTTGGGCCTGATTTTCCTAGACAGTGAGCATCTCAGTTTGATTGAAATCAGGAGGAGATACAGCTTCTTAGTGTCTCTTTAAATCAGGATCTCAATTTTATTTATGGATGCTATGAACAAAACACTTAGCAGAGGCTGTTTTTATGTGTGCTCTAAGTCAAACCAATGGAGCAGAGAAAGCAGTGACAAGAAAATCTTCAGCAGCTTTATTATTTATATAATCATTTGTATTCTATTAGCTTGCACAATGTGCTAAGAGCCGCTTACATAGCCGTCCAAGGCTCATAATGCTCTGTGAGAAGAAAAATCCAAGCATCCACTTAAGAATGAGAGGAAGTAAACAGATAATCAGAATGTGCTTTGTAATCTTCACTTGACTAGGCAGTGACAGGAGATGTGTATGAGCAGATGTCTTGACTTAAAGACAGGCTGGTGCTGTCTGGTTTAGAGCTATAGTCTGCTTAAAAGCAACCTACTTATAGTTGTGGTCCAGTAATGCTTTCAGCTCTTGTGAAAATGTGTCCAAAATGTATCTTGCCCAGTCCCTTATGACAAATCCAGTATACACTATTTACTAAATATAACTGTAGTGCAGGGTTTTCAGGAGAGGCACGTGGAAATGGGATGGAGAAATGAAATATTTCAAAAGGGAAGCCATGTTACTTAATTAGGACTCTGTGCTTCCATTCTGCCATTCCTTCACACCCCTTAGGCCACAGGGTGAGTTACTGCAGGTATCACTAGGAAGTGCAAGGAAGCTGACTATTGTGCTTTTCCTCAGTTCTGGTTTTTGCAAGTGGGGGGGAATGGGGAGTTGCACTTGATGGGGAAAGAGCATCCCTAGATGACTGTCAGAATCCTGACAAAGTCCAGAAGTGCTGCTATAACACCAACATCTGTGCAGAGCAGAGTCTGACCAGCATAAATAGCCTGCATAGGCTGAGAAGGGCTCTTGCTGTATAAGTAGTGAATTACTCTTTGACATCAGTGCTTTTATTAAGTGCACCTTTGGATTAGTTGAGCAGAAAATAGTTTGCCTTGTGAAAGTCCTCCTAGGGTTTGTTTCCTCTTGTTTCCTTTGCTGGAGATGAAAACACTGGTGGCAAAGGTAGAAGGACCAACCTGAGATCCACTTGGAATTATGGGATAGATTTTTTTGAGTGTTTATGTTTATTTCTAAAATACCAGGGTGCATCTGTACAATGCAATGCAGCACAGCATGGTATGAAAGAAACCTGAAGTGACTCAAGAAAGGTAGAATACCTTTGGGGATTAGACTGACCCCCTGGGGCAGCCAGCTTTGATCCTTGAAGAGGCAGAACTGGGTTAGTGCAGTGCTTGTGTGCTTATAACGTTTTTGATTCCAGAACCGGCTACATAGAACTTTACTTGGCTTTCTACATAGCATAGTAGTGTATTTCATAAATCAGTCCCTAAAGCTTATGTTTTTGAACTTTTTC